TCTATTAGAATACAAGCTACAAGATAACAGGGACCACATATGACTTTATCTACCTTGGTATTTTCAACACTTTGCTTAGGATATAATCTATCAGGTACTATTCAAATAGTCCTGTCATGATAGAATGGATGACTCAATGAAGTAACAGAGAGGCTAAGATTCAAAGAATGACCAGCAATCAGCCAGGAAAAAAGAAAGGGAAGAGGATTGTGACCAGTGAAAATTGCATGTACAAAGGTCCTATGGTCAGAGAGTGGGTGGGCCTTAGGAAAGACTGAGTATTTTTCCATATGTTCAAAACTAGAATACTGTTATATTGTGAGAAACAGAATAGTATCTACATTATAGAGGCCTTTTAAGACAACCATTCTTTGCCCCTTACTAAGTTGAATCTCTGATGCAGAGTCCTGAATCTCAGCACACTGACAGAGTCATCTGTCCAAAATTCCTATTTAGAGAGTAACCAGACTTTCAACCAGGCTCAGTCCTACACTCAGGGCAGTACAGCTAACCACTTGCATTTATGGAGTACTTAGGATGTAATAGGCAGTGCATCAAGTCTTTTGTGGAAATTTCTTTGCTCCTCTAATCATTTATTCTCTGTGCCTAGTTAGGGATGCAAATCAGCTCTCTTGTAACTACTGTTTCTGGATCCCCACAGTCTATGCTCTGCTTGAGGGGACTCTAGCCCCAGAATTAGGGTTGATCTGGTTAAAGTAAGTTCACCCAGGTGAACCTGAGGCATAGCCATCCAAAGAGCAACTCAGTGAAGGGCCACAGACCATGCCAAGGACCAGGGCTTTTCTCTAAAACTCCAGTCCCATGGCAGCAAGCTAAGTGCTTAGCTAGATGGCTAGGAAGACTCCTAGCAGAGTGGCCTTGCAGCTGAGTTGGACTCCCAGCTTTATCAATTACAAGCCACGTAACCTTGGGCAAGTTCCTTTCCCTCTCAGAATCCTCATTTTCAGGAATAAAAGGGAAACAAAAATACTCTAAAAAGTGGTTTGAGGATTTAGTGAAGCACTTGAGCTCAGTACCTAGCACATGTTGCGACAAAAGGCACCACAGTGCTGTTACTGCCACACGGAGAGCCATGGGGAGGAGGAGCAGAGGCTAGCTGCAGAATTCTTCATCCTAAGGAGGGAAAGGAAAATCAATTAAAAACAAGTACATGCATATCTCCCTTTATTGCTATTGCTGGGAGAATGGATTGTCTTGTTCATTCTATGTTTCGGGTCTGCAGGTAAATTGCAAAATCCTTTTTATTGAAAATTCATTCCGTCTTCCACAAATGTTTATTGAGTCCGTGCTGTTTGCTAGGCATGTGGGAGAAACAAGGATAAATTAGGTGCTGCTCCTGCATTCACCTTGGGAGTTGGGGAAGTGAGAGTATAGATTTTCTATAAATGTGAGGGGAAGCACTGTGCTGCTTAAATATAGAACTCATAGCATTATTTCCTTTAGGAAATCATTGAGGATCTTGCAAGGGCCTCTCATTGCCTGATTGATGCGTTACAGAGCTAAAAGGTGTGTGTGGGTGGGGGGTGCTGCCAATAGATGGGCACTAAATTTGTATTTTCCACCAAGTATCTATACTAATAAAAGGGTAATATGCTAATTAGAGTGCGTAGACCGGCCATATTCTGGACGTCTGACTTCCTTCAGGACAAAGCCATGATGGTGTGAATGAGGCAGGGGTAGTTAGGGGTAATCAGGATGGCAAAAGAGGGCAGTTGGGGACAAGATCAGGACGACAGGGGAGGGCAGTTGGGGGGTGACCAGGCGAGCAGGGAAGGGCAGTTGGGGGTGATCAGGCCAGCAAGGGAAGGCAGTTGGGGGTGACCAGGCCTGTAGGGGAGGGCAGCTGGGAGTAAACTGGCCTACAGGGGAGGGCAGCTGGGGGATGGCCAGGCCTGCAGGGGAGGGCAGCTGGGAGTGAACTGGCCTGCAGGGGAGGGCAGTTGGGGGTGACCAGGCCTGCAGGGAGGGCAGTTGGGGGCTAGATCAGGCCATCAGGGGAGGACAGCTGGGGGTGACCAGGCCAGCAGTTGGGGGCATTAGGCAGGCAGGCAGGTGAGTGGTTAGAAGCCAGTGTTCCTAAATTGTAAGAGGGATGTCCAACTACAGATTAAGGTCCAACCCCACCCACAGGGATTGGGCCTAAACCAGCAGTAGGACATTCCCGGAGGGGTCCTGGATTGGAGAGGGTGCAGGCTGGGCTGATGGACACCCCCATGCATGAATTTCATGCGCCAGGCCTCTAGTTATTTATATAATAATATAAGTTATTATATAGAACACATGCATATTATACTAATTACATTACATATTATGTATACCTATATAATAATGATATTATTACATTACAATAGTCCTCCCTTTATCTACAGGAGATACATTCCAAAACCCCCAGTGCCTGAAACTGCAGCTGGTATTGAACCCTATATATGTTATGTTTTTTTTACTACACGTGCATATCTGTTATAAAGTTTAATTTATAAATTAGGCACAGTAAGAGTTTTACAACAATAACTAATAATAAAATATAACAATTATAACAATAAAAAAAGTTACTGGAACACAAGAACTGTGATACCACAATAGTCAATCTGACAACTAAGATGGCAACTAAGTGACTGGCAGGTGGCAGCGGATATATCGTGGATACAGCTGGATCACAGGATGGCTCACATCCTGGGCAGGATCCGGTGGGATGGTACGAGGTTTCATCATGCTACTTAGAACTGTGCAATTTTAAAATGTATGAATTGCTTATTTCTAGAGTTCTTAATTTATTTAAATCTTCTAACTGAGGTTGACCTCAGGTAACTGAAACAGTGGAAAGTGAAACTGCAAATAAGGAGGTGATACTGTATCATTATAAGAGTTATAAATAGAATATTATGTACTAAATATTAATTATATACACATATACTGTATATACTATTAATAATTTACACATATAATGCTAATTATGTTATATAATATTTGTATATATATTATATATTACATATATAACACTCATATATTTTATATTAAATAAAATAAATATATAAGTACCTCAGTTACTTATGTCATTTTACAACCACGTGTATCTTTTAATTAAAATGAAAATGCTAACATTATGCTTGGGTCAGAAACTAGATATATTAATTAAATCTTTGCTTTATGCCCACTCTGCAGTACTAAAGTTCTAATCACTCACTCTAATTTCCCACCACAGCAGTAATGAGCCTAGCTCAAGCCTTATTGAATTTGAGAGGATTGCTATGTTGATTACTCATATTTACACTCATGAGTGAGTAAAATCCCCTCTTTGTTCTCTAAAAGCAGAGGATAAAAACTTAACCAAATATCAAGCTATTCTAAGAACTGAAAGCCACATAGCCTCTTTGGAGCCTTACATTCACACCCATGTTCCGAAGTGTTGACCTTCAAGTATCTGCTTAGCTTAAATGTCAAAATTAGTTGACAAAATGGCATAATAGAAACTGACAATAGCTTGAAATCAGGAGACCTTGCTTTAAATCTCAGATCTCCTCGGAAGAACTGGATCACCCTAACCTTCCTGAGTCTCCTCCCCTCGTCCATAAACAGTGATGGGAAAGGTAATTGGAAGATCTTCCAAATCTGGCATTCTGATTCTCACAATCTTGCCTTTAATTGTAAATGTTGGAAGAATTAAATTTCCACAAATTGACTTGCCAACCTAATTTAGTCCACCAATAAGAAGAAGACATGTAAACAAAGTGATAGGCAGAAACAAATATCACAGATGACTTTGGTAGAATAAGTTTCCTCCATAATAATTTATGGCTCCTAACAATGGCAGATGGAACACTGAAAAGAGACAGTATTTGGTTGTAGAATGCAACTTATTTACCAGCAAATTGTTTTTTGAGGGGAAGGTTTCTGAATGTACATGGTCACAGTATTTTTTCCAATGGTTTAAACTTCCAAGCATACTGAAAAGGGGCATGGAAAACCCCATTTTTAGCTGTTTGTGATTTTTCCTGGATCACTTCATAGTTAAACCTCATGCATTGCCTTTACTTTATATACCTGGACTTCTCTGCCCTGAATATAATAAGTGACTAAAGGGTACAGATGATTAAGATTTACTGAGTATCTATTAAGTGTCCTGTTTTGTGGCAGGTGCTTGACCTGTGTTACAGATGACCGCATTTAAACCTTTGTAACATATGCTGTCAGCCACACAATATCTTCTTGACATGCTGAAGGTTACTTGGTTAGAACTTCTGTCTGTCTGTCCAAGAGGATAAGCCATACATGCACCAGAGTTACTGTTGCAAGAGCAACCCTCAACCAATATCAGATGGAAATTTGGTGGATAAATATTCCAGCTTCCTCACCACTTGTTTGGGATAACTCTGAAGCATATTTTACACTTGCTCACAGTCTTCAGAGGGCCCAAGTTCTGGGTGCCCCTGGGGAATACGGGCTTGATAACATACCCTTTATGGACTGCCTTCTATGGAAATACTTGACACTCTAGTATTTCCTGCAATTGTATTCTTGATACAGTACTAACACTCGCATCTTTGCCTCAGTGTGTGCTTCTTGGTATCCAAATTAAAACATCCCCCAAGATCCTTGTGGAGTAGGTACCATTATTGCTAACTTACAGAGAGGAATCTGAGGGTCAGTAGGATTAAATAATAGTTGTTAAGTCATGATGCTAGAGTTTTGCTGGCTCACAGAGACATTCTTCTACACCAGTGCTTCTCACCCGAGGGAGATTTTGTCCCCCAGGGGACACTGAGATGTCTGCAGACAGATTTGGCTCCTAGGAGGTGGAGAGAAGGGAGGCTGCTAAACATCCTATAATGCACAGTTCAGCTCCCTACAACCAAGACTAATTCAGCCTAAAAAAAATGGCCAATAGTGGCAAGCTTGGGAAATGCTGCTCTATACCCAGCAAGGCTGGTTGTTGGATGGTAGCTCTCCCATGTGACTTATCTATTGCATTTCACTTCCAGGGCCAAGCTGTGGCTCAGCTGTGCTCCACTATCCCCAATGTGACTGTATTTGGAACAGCTTCTACTTTCAAGCATGAAGCCATCAAAGACTCTGTGACCCACCTCTTTGACCGAAATGCAGACTATGTGCAAGAAGTGAAAAGGTAAGGTGTTTGCTCAAAGGAGCACCAGGTTGGCCCTTGTTCTTCTCTCTGAAAGAACAGTTGCTTTCATCTGGAAGGGGGCTAATACTACCATAAAAATAATAGTAAATATACATTGAGGTACTAGTATGACTAGCTCTGTGCTAAATATTTCACCTATATTAGCTCATTTAACGCTCTTACCAGCCCCCTTGTGCAGAAGATAAAATCCAGGAATAGAGGAGTTAAGTAGCTTGCAAAGCAAATGTATAACTTGCAAAGCTGTTATGCTATCTCAGTGGTCGGCAAACTCGTTAGTCGATAGAGCCAAATATCAACAGTACAAAAATTGAAATTTCTTTTGAGAGCCAAATTTTTTAAACTTAAACTTCTAACGCCACTTCTTCAAGACAGACTTACCCAGGCTGTGGTATTTTGTGGAAGAGACACACTCAAGGAGCCAAAGAGCCGCATGTGACTCGAGAGCCGCAGTTTGCAGACCATGGTGCTAGTTGCTATAACACTGCCTTAACTCAGAGAAGTTTATTTCTCCTTCATTTACACAATAGCCTAAGGAAATGCAGACTCCAACCTGGGTATGACTGAGAGCCAATGAAGGACCAGAGTGGTGACATGATCAGATTTGGGTTTGGGGCAGTCACTGGTGGTACGCAGAGAACAGATGGGAGACGGGAGGCTGGAGGCAGTAGATCAGTCTGCTGTGTGTTGCAGTCATCCAGGGGGACATGGCTTCTAACCTAATCCATTTCCACTGGTGATCCTGAAGCTATTGATCATGGCTATGTGCATGTGCATCAAGTGGAAAACCCAGCTGCCACCGTGTTCTCAGATAATTTGTGCATCTCAGCCCTCCTGATGCTCAGCGTTTGAGGCTGGTCCTCAGGTTATATTCCTGAGGAGGGTTTAGGGATGTCCCAGAGCATATTCCTGCATTTTCAGTTGATCAGCACTAAATTGCAAGGTACAAAGGAATTAAGTTGTCCAGCTAGCATCCTAATAATAGGATTACAATTTTCTGCTAATCACACAGTAAGATGGAAAATCGAAGAACTAGAGGGATGGAAGATCTGGTTATCTGAGATGGTGGATTTAGATCAGATTAAGTGAGAGTTTCTTGGAGAGTCTCCTGATATTCTGAATTTTCAGATTTGTTATTAAAGTTTAAACAGAGAGATTTGCATGTAATTTAAAATTGACCCAATATTTCTGGGGTGGGGGTTTGGGGGGCATGAAAAGAGAGCTTTACAGGAAGATACTAGAAGTTCCTCATCTGGTTCTCCGAAGTCTGTAGATTGCAGGCATAGTTTAAAGACTTCCAGGATTTACCTATGCCTATTTTTAGAACCCTTAAGTAGTCCTTCTTTTACCTAGCGTCTATCAAGTTGTGGTGGAGAAAATGAACTACCATGTCCCTTCAGCAATCTTTTCTTTCATCCTCTTAATGATATTTTTGTGAGCATCCTTTCCTTTATTCATGTACTGACCCACTTAATAAATATTGAGTGTCTCTGTTGGGCCAGGTATGAGTCAGGGCGGGAGACACAGCCAGACCACTTTGAGAGACCATTTACGTGGAGTTCGAGTCTAGTTGGGGAAGAGGAGACAATTTTTTAAAAACTCCTTGATTTACAAGTTCAATAAGTGCCCTGCTGGAGAAATGCAAGGTGCCAGTAAACATATGCAGTTGGGGAAATCAGACACATTTTCCATCAAAGGGTGAGATTTGGGCTGAAATCTGAAAGATGAGAATTTGGCCAAAGAAAGACCATTCCTGACTTAAGGAGTGGTATGTGCTAGGGCCCAGTGTCAGAAAAGGCTTGGGAAATTTGAGAATCTGAAAGGAGACCGGTGCAGCTGGAGGCGGTAGGATGTGGAAAGTAGTGAGAGAATAGCCGAAACCGGTTTGGCTCTGGGGTAGAGCGTCAGTCTGTGGACTGAAAGGTCCTGGGTTCGATTCTGATCAAGGGCATGTACGTTGGTTGCGGGCACATGCGGTAGGGGGTGTGCAAGAGGCAGCTGGTCGATGTTTCTCTCTCATCGACGTTTCTAGCTATCTATCTTCCTTCCTCTTTGTGAAAAATCAACAAAATATATATATTTTTAAAAAGTAGTGAGAGAATAGGCTCAGGAGGGGCAGCTCTTCTGAAAATGTGAGGGACAGACTATGGCCAGGGAGCTCCTGAAGTTCCCATTTCCCATGTAGCTGCTCCATCTCCTTATCTCTCTCTGTCCTTGACCTGTGACCTTTAGCCCCAAATCAGTGATTTCTCCTGATGTCAGCAGAGCAGAAGGTAACAGCATCTGAGATTCCTCTCATCATCACTTTCAAGTGTAACTTCCAGCAATTCCTTATGAGTTTAAATAGAGACTCCGGAATTAGACTAAAAATGACTGGGAAGCTGCAAATATATGTATGCCCTCTGTCCCACTAATCCTACTCTTAGGAAATAATCCAAAAGAAAAAAAAAGACAACAGGTCCCTGGTTGCCTACTGCAGAGCCAAGCACCGTTTCTGATTCACGGCAGGTGTGCAGCATATGTCCTGGGTGAATTATAGCATCGTCTGTAACAGTGAAGATGCAGAAGCAGCCTCCATTATCAACAGAAGGAAAATAGTTCAGCAGATTACGCTACACCCACACACTTGAGTATTATGCAGCCCCTTAAAAAAAAGATAATTATGGAGACTGTCACAAAATGAGAAAAATAACCGTGGTAGCATATTGAGTGAAAAAAGAATTTCATCTACATGGTGATCACAGCTTTGTATACATTCTCGACTCAAAAGGACATAAAATGAGAGGAAAGGAGGGATCCAACTGCTAACATGCAATAGGAGGTGGATGCAGAGTATTTCTTTCTTTGATCACGGACATTGTTTATTGCACTATTATGTATCTGATAAACTAGAAAAAAAAACAAATTCTGTGAGGTGAGAACTCTCTTGTACACCAGCTCATTGGTAAGGTTCTCTGGAACACATTCTCAGCTGTCAGCCAGGCATTGTGAAGGAAATAGGGGGGAGTTATTTATAATATAGACCTAACCTGTACACCACTTTCTCCTTCTCTGCTTGGGAGGAGAGAAATGACTATGCTTGAAACCAAGTGTAAGAAGAAGATGCCTTGAATCATGTCCATCTGACTGTAGGGCCATAAAAGTAAAAAGGAGAGAAAAACCAGAGAGAGCACCAACGTGGACAGCCCCCAAAGTGGGTGTCTGAAGGATGGGAGGGATTTCAGAAGGTAGAGGGAGGAGGAGAGCCAGCCCAGGCCAGGTGGACAATAAATAGCCCCAGATTTTGTTGGTCTCCTTGTACTCTGCTGAGCATTGCAGTTAGACTGTTGTATGTGTACCTCAGACAGACCTGCAAGGACAATTCCTCACTTACAGATAAAGAAACTGAGACTTGGTAGAAATTAATGAGAGTATAATCACCTGGATAGGACAGAAAGTGATCCAGAAAGGATTCCTGGATGTGGTATTGCTAAGTCCATGTGGGAGCCATTAGTAGTAAACACTTCCTAAGAAGCACAATCTGTGCTCAGCACCCTGTAAAGAGTCTATTGTGTACTGAGTGCTAGCTTAGCCCACTGTTTTCAGTCCTCTATGAGTGGCCTACTGTGTGCCAGGCACTGTGCTGGGCACTCTGCAATAGCCTCATCTCTTTGTCATGAACTTGGAGGTGACGATTAAAGCTATGGCACAGGTGAGTTCTCAGAGGAAAGGAATTCAGAAAAAGAACTGAGTGAAGTGTCAGCGGTCCAACTGGACATGAAAGTTACAATAAAGTGAAATTAATTTCTTGGCCAAGTAGAAAGGTTTCTGTCCCAGTAATGACTCTCTGGGACCTGCTACCACTCAAGAGAAATTCTTCACTGATCCATGTAAGTGCGAAGCATTCCCAATAAAGGTGTGAGGAGTTGAGGACCAAGGAAGGAAAGACACAAAAGTCTCAGATCAGCAATTCCAAAATATCTTGCTGCTGATTCTGGCCTAAAGAATCCTGAGCTGGGGCTATTTGTGTTTGGATCTGGAGAGATTTATGACAGCAGGAGAAAGCAGACATAGCAAATGTGGCACCTGGCTTTCTGCCCTCACCCTTTCCATGTTTATGTCATCATGATTATGTATGTACACAATGGAGCACCCCCAAGATTGGGGGTCTAATGCTGGCCTGTGCCTCTGGGAAGCGACCTCACTCTGCTTATGCTTCTTATGATTATTCCATTAAAAGGAGCTGCTTGGTGCCTGGTAGGGCATGGCTCAGTGGTTGAGCATTGACCTATAAACCAAGAGGTCATGGTCCAATTCCCCTTTAGGGCACATGCCCAGGTTACAGGCTCATTCCCTGGTGCAGGAGGCAGCCAATCAATGATTCTCTCTCGTCACTGATATTTGTATCTCTCCCTCCCTCTCCCTTCCTCCCTGAAATCAATAAAAATACTTTTTAAAAAGGAGCTAGTAGGGTGTTTTTTGATGTGAGCATAATGAGGGAGGGGCCAGCAGCATTTCAAATAGACCCAACTGGGTCCAGCTCGGTTGATGGATTGGGCTGGTAATGATTGAATGAGGGATTGCTTTGTTTTCAATGAAGGAGCTTTGCTAACCTCAAAAGCAGCCATGTCTTCTTAGAAGTTTGACCGAAATGGCCAAAGTATCTTTCCCTTGGGGCCCAGGAATGACATCTGTCTCTACCTGCTTCTCTTCCTCAGAATTCACCTCACCCTACCACACCATGGCCTTCAAAAGGATGAAATGGCAGCAGGGACTAATGAATTTGTGGCATATTTGGCATGTGTAAACCCTGATTTAGCTGATTCGACTATAGAAATGTCGAGAGAGGTGTAGGGAGGAGCAGGCGGCCTGAATACACAGGAGACCCATGTGAAGCCAGGGAATAGCCTCTGCTTTGCTCCACCCTTGCTGGAGACTGGGTGGCCTAGAAGTGCCAGTGGTGGTCACCCTGGGGCTGGCCACAGCTTATACTGTAAAACCCTACTCCACCTCTGGGGCTTTCACCTTGTATGTAGATGCAAAGGCTCAATCCGGTGTCCTTCCATTGCCTGTAGTGGGTCTTGGGTTAGTCACTTGAACCCATTTAGTCTTCATTTCCTCATCTATCAAATAGGGGTTATGGTCCCCAAGTCACAGGGCTGGCATAATGTGTTGATGAGATGAGACATAGGAAATGCTCAGTGCTGTGCCTGGCACATAATAGATGTTCTTGAATATGGGACATCCTCTGCTAAGAGGGCCAAGGTCATTGAGCCTCTATTTTAATGGTTTCTGGGTTTTCGGATACTTGGGTAGATGGTTGAATTGTTGAGGTTTTGCACAATCTTTCATGCTCTTTTGCCAAATCAGAACTCTCTTTAAGTTAGACCACTCTGGAAAATGGGAATAAAAGCTACCATAGACCCAGAGCTACCATGAGTGGGGCCTGGGGCTCCATATGCATCAATTCATTCAAGCTTCACAGAGAAGCCAGGGGCAGGTGTTATCACCATGATCTCCTTCCACAGTTAGGCACAGAGACACTAAGTAACTCAACTGAGGTCACACAACAACAAGGGCAGAAGCAAACGTTTAACACTGAGATGAAATTCAAGTTCCTAAGCCCAGTGCTATGCTGCTATTACCCCACCCGCACAGCTGCCACTGCCCTCACAGTTGTGGCTGCCAGTCTTGAGTCCTTCTGGAAGGAGATAGTGGCAGGGCCTCTCGTTACCATGTTTGGGCTCCCACAGCCTGCCTTGGGACTACTCTGTGCTAATTGCCCTAAGTCAGGGTGTTGCACTGTTCTCTGTGAATACCTTCCTCTCATCCCCTGACCAATTCCTGCTCATTTATCAGTGCTCAGCAGAGGATTATCTACCACAGCCCCCTAGATCAGTCTGTTGGAGCTGGGATCATTCCATGTGTGGGTCGTCCATTCATAATCTAACTTCTGGGTAGCAAGGATAAAGTCAAGTCTTCATCTGCGTATTCCCAGATCAGCACGCACAGAGCCTAGCATGTAGTCAGTACTTGGTGAATCATTGTCCAGTGGCTGAAAATTGAGGGCAAATGTGTAGGACCCTGACAGTCGGTGTTTCCTGTAATCTAGGATGAAAAAAAGCAGCTTGAAAATAGAAATCTCTTGACCTTCCTGTATAGAAAAACATGGCCTACCTCTAGATATATGTATACTTATTTTAAATGACCAATTTTAAGCCTGAATTCTTTGAAGACTAAATTGACCACTTTTCCAGAGCTACTTGCTAAAACTGTCTTTTCATAATTATACTGGTTTGAGCATTTATTAAGTCTTAAATTCAGAGTGGTGTAAAGGCCATCAGCATTGCACTTAAACTAGACTGACATTTGAATTCCAGCTGTGCTGGTTAGATCTGCTTGGGCAAGGTGCTGCAGCTGTGAGCCTTCATTTCTTCATCACAGCAGGGGAGTAAAATGGCTGCCTCACAGATGGGTCATGAAGATTAATTATGAAATGCCTGGGGTATAGGGAACTCAGAAAATGTAAGACAGATGTGGAATATCAATCTAAAAAGTTTTCTTCATTTCTTTTATTTATTCATTGACTTATCCATTTAATCAATTCATACAGCTATCAATATTTCTTGAGAACTAGTGCTTTGTCCATGCAGTTGAAAAAGGCTGAGGATTAGCAGCACAAACATGGTCTTATATTTGTGTGTCATGGGGCTTACCGTATTACACAGTGTAGCTTCGGGTACAGAACATGTACACTGTGTTCTAGTAAAAAGCCTGCTCAGATTGGCCAGAGTCAGAGAGGCGGTCTATTAAAAAAAGAATTTGTGTTGCCTCAGAAGTGTGTGTGTGTGTGTGGGGGGGGGGGGGGGGGTAGTCTTATACAGCGAATATAGGCCTAAACCTATGTTTTAACTGTAAAATTAGGGGGTCGTCTTATACCCCAGAAAATATGGTATGTTTTGGTGGAAGAGGCAGTCAGTGAATAAGTAAACAAATAAAATAATTACAGCCCACAGTAGATACTAAGAAGTATCCCTTGTGGACACTAAAGCATAAAGGGAGCTAAAGTAGAGATAATTTGGGGGTGGAGTGGGGTAATTAGTTACAGCTTCTCCGGTGAGCCACATGTGAGTAAGACCTGAAGGATAGGAAGGAAGGGGCCACTTCTAAGGAGAGCTGGGGAGAAGGTGTTCAGGTAGAGCTTACAGCACATGCAGAGGCCCCTAGGTAGGGGTTTTACGGATAGCCAGAAGGTTAGGAGGCCTTGAAAAATTAGGTTGATGTAAGGTTGGGAAAGTGGGCAGGAGCTCATAGGTCACCCCTTACCAGAGTCCAGGGGATAGAGCAATAGGCCTCTGTGGGGCAGCTAATACAGGAAGATTGATTGGCAAGATGTGGGAGGAAAAGTGGATCTGCGAGGAAAATATAGATGTGAGAAGCATCACCCAGGAAGTGAGGATTCAGGGCTGGGCAGGTCCATCAGAAGCATTTGGGATGCTGCTCCTGAGCACAGCCATTCTGCAGGCAAAGAGAGAGGTCTTGGGAAAATTGAGTTCGCAGGGAGGATCTGATGGCCCAGGAGGGCTGGCTAGAAGCAGAGCAGGATCTTACTGCCAGAGGAATGCGCAAACTTGGCAGGAAATGGGCCTGGTGGGGGTGAGGAAGATAGGAGCATAGTTACTCATCCCAGGATGTAAGGTGGAGACCTGATCACCAGGTGTGAGGCACCAGCTCAGAGCTCACCAACAATCTGTGTGCTTCACCTCCTTCCTGTCCCTTCAGCCTCACATTCCAGCAAGCTCCCTCTCAGTGTCTCTACTCCAACCCTCACTCTCACTGCTTCTCTGACTTCCTGCTCATCAGGTTCCTCCATCATGGGGCATTTGCACATATTGTTCCCTTGGCCTGGAACACTATTTCCAGCACTGTTTACTCAGCTAACTCCTTCACCCTCCACTCATCACTTCCCAAGTGACCTCTTTTCTGGCAGCCCTGATTGAGCAAACTCACAATTTAAATGGTCTCATAATGCCTTTATGACACTAGGCCCATTCTGTTTTCATTTAATTTTATTTGTGTAATTATTGGTTACTGTCTGCCCAGTGTAAGCTCCAAAAGGGGAGAAATCAAATCTGTTTGTGCTCACCTGTATATCCCCCAGTGCCTAGTGCAGTGCCAGTGCTAATAATTAATACAGTAATTAATGAGCAAATTAATTACTAATTTATCAATTGCTGGTGTGGTTCTTGAGTAACTACCCTGTTTTCCTGAAAATAAGACAGTGTCTTATATTAATTTTTTTTCTCCCAAAGTTGCACTAGGTCTTATTTTCAGGGGATATCTTATCTTTCCATGGGCTAGGTCTTATTTTCGGAGGATGTCTTATTTTCGGGGAAACCCCGGTAGCTTAGACCACAAGTCCTCAAAGGGTGGTGGTAGAATCAGCACCATCAGCATCTCCTTGGAACTTTTAGAAATGCAAATCCTTGGGCCCCACCCCAGAGCAACTGGAACTAAAAGAATAGGGGGTGGACACCTTATGACATGTTACAATTTGTGCTTTCATGAGCCCTCTGGGAGATTGCCATGCACACTTCTGTTTTTGATCCACTGGCCTAATGCCCTTGATCTGAACTTAGGGATGGGACTTAAAAGAACACATCTGGGTAGATAAAAGCTATATTAGGCTGAAGCAAAACTGATAATTTTGGATAAGCCTTTGTAATGGGATGGATTTTAGGCTGAGGGTTTTGAATGGCATATTCACATTAAGGCTTGGCTGTCCATTTAATGTCTGAACTCAAGCGATGCCCATGAAATTTCCTAGTTAGTGACATTATGGACACAGCTGTTGACATGTCCTGCAGTGCCTAAATTTTGCTGGGGGTGAGGGTGATGGCAGAAAAACTAAACCATGTGTGAAAACAAGGCAATCATGCAAAACTCACACATCTGAGGGAACACTATTCTTTTCTGAGCAGAGCAGGGCCCAGCCACAATTGGACGCTTTGTGAGCATAAGTATTTTTCCTACAATCTTCAGAGTTCCCTCCTGCATAATATCTTCTATTGGTGGAAGCCCAGTAGATGTTTGTTAAATGCATGTGTGAGTGAGTGAATCTGTGAAGGTATAAATAAATGAATGGAAGAAGGGATCTTCTTCCTACCGTGTTTCCCTGAAAATAAGACATCCCCTGAAAATAATACTTTGGGAGAAAAAATTAATATAAGGCACTGTCTTATTTTCGGGGAAACAGGGTAATAGAGTACTGCCTAATAGAGTACAAATGGTGGATTCTCCCTACCACTATAGGAAGATCCTCTCCTTTTAATTCTCTTCCTCTAAGACTATATTTTAGATTGAACCTGGGGATTGGACAAGTGGAAATTTGCAAATTAAATTAACATGATTTTTATAACTTCACTGAAGAGAGAGGGGGAGAGGGAAGAAAGCCAATCCCCCTGAGACCAGAAGCTCCAGGAAGACAGAGAACATGGTTTTGTTCACCACTCTATCTCCAGCACCTTGGACAGAGCATGGCACATAAGGTCCACAAATATGAATTGTTGACTGACTGACTTATGGGGTGATCCTTATATGGCTGGCAATGGGCCGAACATTTCATTGGTCACCTCATTTTATTTTTACCACATGCCAGCTCCACTTTACAAAAGAGAAAGCTAAGGCACAGAAAAGCTGAGGGAGGCAGCTCGATACAATGTAGACTGTGATGTTCATGCTCATTCTCTAGCCCAGGCTGGTTTTCTGTATCAGCCACCAGCCAGATTCTAGGCTGTCTCTAGTTTTACGAAATTGCATAGCTGGACCTAGGAGGATAAATGCATCTCTGGGGCTTCTGCCTTATTTACTACTATTCCCAAGAGCTTTTAATCTTCCTGATTCTGGGAGTAATCAGTATGACACAGGAAGGGAAAAGGATTGACAGTTTGGTCCCTGACTGGTTATGGTACTGTCCTTTGTGTTCTCGCCATTCAGAATCTCTGCAGAAGGAGTGGACATTGTTTTGGATTGCCTCTGTGGGGACAACACCGGAAAAGGTCTCAGCCTTCTCAAACCCTTGGGAACCTACATATTATATGGTGAGTGCTGAACAGTAGTGGGGGACATGCTCACAAAACACTGCTCAGGTGCTTACAGACAAAGGCTCTAAAAAATGAAATGTGTTGCTGTTAGGGCAATGCGGTTGGGTTGTTTACTTTTTTTATGTGTCCCAAAATATTGCTTTTGGCATTAGTTTTCAGTGATAAAAGTGACATATGCCTTTTACTCCCAGGAGTACTTCTTATTCCAAAAGAGATCAAGCCAAGCCAAACCAATGTAGTCATTGAAATGGGACTTGACTCACAGAAAGTGGCACAGGTGGGAAACCAAGAAAAGACCCACAGTAGAATGGAGGAGTGGCTGCTATATCGGGGTTTTAAAGGCAGTTCTTCAGTATTAGAGATGAAGCTACAAAAAGAACACAAACAACAGACTATCCTTCATCTAAACTACTTTTGTATGTCCCAATCAAGACAGAAGCCCTGGGTAGATGGGGAACAGACCTGCTTCAGCATCTTGTGCTTGGGAGGATTTATGAAAGACAACAGGGAGGTTTTCTCTAGCAGAGTGAGAACCCCTTCTCTCTTCTTCTCTTCTTTCAAAGCAATTTAAATATTAGTCTCCATAAAGTCAGAAAAGTATATCTGAATCCAGATGTTATGTTCCAAAGACAAATGATATTGGGTTAACCAACAGTTGAAATTTTTGGTACTTCTGTGCCCTGTATATACATCAGAAAATTGAGCCTTAGTTCTGCATAACTTAGGAAAAAATACAATTTCCTTTTTATTAACTGAGACACTTATAAAAGAGACAATCAACAGGTATAAATATGCAAGCATCTTTTTTGTTGTCATGCAGTCATTATGTAAGAGAGGGAATAGGTTTTCCATTGCTGGTGTATTTTGGTATTTTCAATAGTGTCCACATATTTAAAAGCTCTTGGAGGTGGATATGAAATTTTTAAATTATTACTATTGATAAGAGAAGCACTGAGAATCAAAGCACAATGAGGGATATGGGTATGACTCACATGGTGTGACTAAAATGTGAGTCAAATGCAAATGGACTGTTTTTGCATCTTTTACTTATTTACCGACTCTATTTTTGCCCCAGTTTCATAAATTTCATGGAATACAATTGAATTGTATTATAGTGTCTAATTTATTACATTGACTACTTGATTACTAAGTAGTTGAAGCATAGTACCATGATGCTTGGTGGTAGTCACCACATAAAATTAGAAGCAGTGATTAACTAGCTGCCAACCAGTTTAATCAGGCCAAATAGTTACGTTTAAAACATATATTGTTTTTTCATTAATAACAGTTCACTGAGAAGAATTTACTCTCATTTCTATGGGGACAAGAGAGAAAACTCCTTGAAAAGGCCCCAATATGATATCTGAACTTGTACGAGTGCTCTCATCTACCCCTTCTGGGAACTCACAGCCGTCTTTTCTCTGGAAGAGCATCCTAGGGAATCTTTCCCCACTTCACCTCCCGTCTTCCCTCTAAAAGTGCTATTTCCAATTTGCAAAGCTCAGTTTCTCATACCAATTATCTCAAGTGGTTTTTTTACATTTCTACCTAGACCTCTCTGGAGCTAAGGCATTGTCTACACTATTTCCGTGGCTTCTGAACTTGCTCCTTTGTGGGACAGTTTTTCCATCCACCTAAATTCTAGCTTAGCCAGTCTCTTCCTACCCCTATGTGCCCACCCAAGGCAAAGCCCCAAGCCCCTCACTTGCTGAGGAGCCAACTTCAGGAGTCCATTTCTCAGTCTCAAAGAATGAAAACCAACCAGACATTTCAACAACTCATCATTTTGTTAGAATGTTAGCTAAAAGCACATGCCCAACTTTCCAAAGTAATGACATGGTCATCTTGAGAGATGCTACTTCCTCTTTGATCCAGTGTAACTTGGTTCAAATCAAGGCACCTTGTCACTGCCCACCCCTCCCATTACCCCATTTCCCCAGGCAGACTCAAGCTCCTGACAGTTCTGGGCTGAACAACTGCCATTCTTTCATGTATAACAAGGGATGGTGATTTTCATTAGCAGTGATTTGGGGAATCTTCCATTTTCAGGTTCATCCAACATGGTGACTGGAGAGACCAAGAGCTTCTTTAGCTTTGCAAAATCAGTAAGTACCCATGCATGGCTAATGTACAACAGTGGTGTGGTGGTTTGCATGTTGTGAGCTCTCACATCTAAGGACATTAACCTCATAACCTAAACCTTTTTTGCTCTTCACCTACATTGTTCATCTTCAGTGCAGTCTGAATTCCCACCTTGCTCACTACACATGGGCAGGACTGACTGTGACTTGGGCTGCTTTTGTGTAAACAAGTCAGCAATGGGGCTGGGGCATATGTATGAAACTTAGAAAGCTTTGTTTTGATTTCTATACAGATTGCTTATATGTTGATATTTTACATCATTGGCCAAAAAGAAACTAGTATTGCATTTTATTTGCTTCGTGGAAAGCAAATAAACTTTCTGACCAGGTTTCTGTGGGTACTTGAGATGTCTCTGAATCCTAATTTTACAAGTTGGAGATACAAATGGGATCCTTTTGAGCTAGTTTATTAGCCATTGACTTAGATAAGCATGATCTGAATACAGTGGTTACTTTGTCCGCAGTGGAAAAGCCATATCCCTGGGCATTCACCCCATTGTGCTCCTTCTGGGCCTACATTCCCACCTAGAGCTACACTTGGGTGACTTTCCCCGACAACTGGGGGTTGCTGCTTCTCAAAAGAGCTTGCTTTTGTCTTCTCTCCTCCCAGTTCCTGTGAATTTCCCTTATTTTGTTTCCCTTACTTTGCAAGCATCTTCTGAGCACCTGCTATTTCCGGCTCTGAGCCAGACACTGGGTATAACATCGAGTGAGATAGGGGCATCTGAGGCCCTTGTGATTCTCATGAGAAAAACAACTGAAATAAGTAAAACATACCAATAATATGATTGTAAATGGTCATAAAAGCCCCGAAGAAATGAAAAGCAGGTGCTGAAATAGAAAGCAGCAGGGTAGGCTAGAGGCATTTTGAATAGATGGTCAGGCAAAGCTTAGTAAAGGGTTTAAATTCATTCTAAGTATGGCTACACAGTATTCATATGCCATTTAAGTGGCAACATTGGCTGCCAGAGGTTTCATCCCCAACATGCCCTGATTCTAGAATGGTTACTACTTCCTGCCCCATGAAATGAGAATTAAAGGGTTTCTGTTTTCATTTGAACTTTAAATTTCAGCTACAGAATAAACAGGGAGCAGGAAGAGTCTAATGAAGGATGTGTCTGGAGCATGTCCCCTGGAGACAGGCTTTGTGTCACTCACAGCTGCTTTGTTGCTTTGGCAGTAATTACCGTGATGCTGACAGCCTGCTGAGGGTAACCAAATCGGTCCCAAATTACATACAATTGTAATAAGTGTTTTCTCTTTATTCCCCAAATGCACAATCACAACACATGATTTTAATGAAATAATTGCAGGGTACCGAGGTTTGATGAAGGCACACACAAAAACACAGCCAGGATGCAGGTTGACATTTTCCTGCCCAAACCAAGGGTGGCAATTATCAGAACACTACTAGCTTGAGGTCAAGAATAAAGGTTTTCCTTTCAGAGGCCTGGCACAATGTCAATTGGTCAGTTAGAAGCAAATTGAAAATAGGGCATGCCAAGGAGTGGAATGATAACCTTTGTTCTGGAAGATTCTAGAAAGGATTTTTGTTCTATATATTTGGGAGAGGCTTGGAAATGAAAGCATGTTTGTAATCACACCAGAATTTTTCAATCAGTTATCTTAATTACATTCTACCTTAAAACTCACACAGAGCTTGTGCACACTCTTTGTCAAGCATGCCATTTGCTTTCAGACCATAATGATGATGCTAATAATAGGTGAACATAGCATTGACAGAGCAGTCTGACTCCAAATTCAGAATTCCTGTTCACTAAATCAGATCCATTCCTTCCAACATTCAGTTCCTTCCAACATTCATAAAGCTAGTTCATATTTATGGAGTACCTAAGCACTTTGTACGTATTAACACATTTACTCCTCAAGATGATCCCATGAGGAACCACAAGGAAACTACTCACAGAGAGGTTAAGTGACTTGCTTAAGGTTGCACAGCTAATAGGTGGAGGAACTCGGATTTGAAATCAGGCATTTGGCTCTAGCATTCAACCATAACTGTACAGCTATTGTAGAATCAGCAAAGATTCATTTCACAAATATTTATTGAGGCATTGCAGATATAGTGAAAATCAAGTCATAAATGATGTCTTTTGCTTTTTCTTGATAATTAACTCATGGAAATAAATGGCTCTCCTGGAGCTGGCCCCCAAGCTCTGGGGAATGTACTTTAGTAACGAATTTTATGCATGAACCTTATCCTTATGTAAGCTTGTCTTTCTCACACTTATTTTCCTAACAATATGATTTTTTCACTTAAAAAAAATTAGACCTTTTACTTTTTTGAGCCTCTTCAATCCTGGAAAGAGGCAGAATGTAAATAAATAGAGCTATAACACAGATATTATAAATGCTCATAAGTGCCCACCACATTCCTCTTTGTCTTCCATATTAAACTGAGAGTAACCATCTCATTTCTTAGAATCCTCAGAAACTGAAAGTTGAACTTCTAAATTTAAACTGACACCAAAGGAAACACAATTAAATCAAAACAAAGCAGTTGGATAACCATTTCTGTAGTTTAATGGGTGGCTTGCTTATTTTCATGTCTGATTGGGAGATAGGCAGCCGTATTTGCCAGTTATGTGTATTCCCACAAAGGACTTTAAGCCAGGGTTTCTCACCTTTAGTGCTATTGACATTTTTGGGGTGAACAATTCCTTGTTGCAAGGTGCTGTACTGTGCATGTAGAATGTTTAGCAACATCCCTGGCATCTATACACTGGAGGACAGTTAGATTCAGTCATCACAATAAAAATGTCCCTAAACATTACCAGTGTATTGCCCATAGTTGAGGGCTACTGTCTTAGTCTCCACACTATGTTTTATCCCTCAGTCCACTGTTCCTTCTTCCTGTATGACACTTTCTTACTCTTCCTTATCTGATGCATTTCCAATCACCCCTCCAGCCTAGTCATTACTCCCCCAAGAAAGCTGCACCTGCAGTCAATGTCATCACTCCTACTTTGTTCCCCAGCACACTTTGTAAACCTTTATGCCACCTCACTCCTTTCATCAACCCCACCCTTCAACAACCCCTTACCACCACCACCATTCACAAAGCCAAGTGCTTTACACTGAATTCTCCCAGGGAACATCAGAGGCAATACCCTGCCACTGTATGTAGCTGAGAAAAATGAAGCATGGAGAATAACAGGGAGCAAGCTGCATAGCCAGGATTCAATTCCAGAGCTAGTAATCCTAGCCATATTCCTTCACATTCCAACTGCACGTGGCCTAGCGGCTGATTTCAAAGGGCTCTCTCCCATCTTGATTCTGAGCTCTTCTCATAAGCACCACTGTCTGTAGTTCTCCACACACTCACCAGATAGATGTTTAAAAAAAAACACACAAAAACCCAACAACCTCACATGTGGAATCTTATGAACAAAATAATCTCATGAACAAAATAGATCCAGAGACATAGGAGTCTGGAGCAGACTGATGAATCTCAGGGAGAAGGTGGGGTAGTTGGGGATGGGTGGTGAGAGATTAACCAAAGAACTTGTATGCATATGTGCATGACCCATGGACACAGACAAGAGTGTGGTGAAGACCTGGGGTGGGGTGTGTGTGGAAGGGAGTCAATGAGGAAAAAAGGAAACATCTGTAATACTTTCAACAATGAAGATAAATTAAACCAGACCAACCAGATCTACCTCTTAGCTAGAACCTGACCCACTGCAGCCCCGTTTTGCTGAGAATGAGTCCTTGTAACCTGGCACCTCTCCCTTTCCAGTGGTGGCAGGTGGAGAAAGTGAACCCCATCAAGCTATATGAAGAGAACAAAGTCATCGCAGGGTTTTCCCTTTTAAACCTGCTCTTCAAACAGGGCCGCGCAGGCCTCATTCGAGGAGTGGTGGACAAACTCCTAGGGCTCTACACCCAGAAGAAGATCAAGCCCACCGTGGACTCCCTGTGGGCCCTGGAGGAGGTAAGAATGGTGTTTTCCCTCAGCAAATAGTCCCTTTTTAGTCCAGGCAGATTTGGGCAACCAAATACTATTTTTTTTCCCACTAAATAATTTTTCTCCAGGTTTGTTTGTTTCAAATGATAGTCCTAAAGTCATTGTCCCATAGTATGGTGCTTTGAATATAAAATATATATATATATATCTTAAATTCTCTAGTGGTTCTTTCTTTTTTTAATTGTATTTATTAGGTTGACATTGGTTTTAAAAATTATACATGTTTCATGTGTACAATTCTATAACACATCATCTCTATGTTCAATTTTCACGACTCCAACTCAAGTCTCCTTTCATTACCATTTATCTCTTTTTTATGCTCTCCTGCTTCCCCCCTCCACCTTTCCCTCTGGTAATCATCATAATGTTTGGATTTATGAGGTTTTTTCTTTTTGCTTAATCTCCTCACCTTTTTCACCCAGCCTTCCAACCTCAACCCCCTCTGACAGCTGTCAATCTGTACTCTGTATCTATGAATCTGTTTCTATTTTGTTTGCTAGTTTATTTTGTTCATTAGATTTCATAAGTGAAATCATATGGTAGTAGTCTTTCTATGCCTGGCTTATTTTACTTAGCATAATACTCTCCAGGTCCATCCATGCTGTCACAAAAGGTAAGAGTGTTTTCCTTTTTACAGCTGAGTAGTATTCCATTGTGTAAATGTACCACACCTTTTTTATCCACTCATCAACTAATGGGCCCATTAGTTGTAACCTGGAACGACTTCTAAATTTTGGCTATTGTAAATAACACTGCAGTGAACATAGGGGTCATATATTCTTTTGAACTAGTGTTTTGGATTTAGTTGGAAATATTCCCAGAAGTGGAATCTCTGAGTCATAAGGCAGTTTCATTTTTCTGCCCAGATCTCAGCAGACCAGAGCCACCAGGACTCGATAGGGTGGGGCTGCCAAGGTCTGGAGAGTGGAGATAATGGATCTCCTCTGAGAGAGAGGTGCCAGTCAGGTTCACAGGAATGTGGTGGGGATGGCCCCACCGCAAAGCCACATAACTCAATTACCAACACCTTCTGAGTGCCCTCACGTTTACACCCCTACCCAAGCAGCTGACTCCTCAGCAGGGCACAAGCTCCAGAGGCTGAGACAAGAGGGAATCCAGAGGATGGGGCTATTGCTTTTCTGCAAGCTGATGCCCTAGGGAGGGTAGTGCTTCTCCCCCAAAAGATGGCATCTGTGGTGTGGAAGAGGGTCTCAGCATAGGGATCTTGGTGGCTGTCCCTTCAGCTCTCTCCCCAGAGCCACAAACTCTAGTCTCTTCTTACACTACTTTAGTCTGCTCTGCCCTCCCTCCACTGGAGCCCAGGATGAGTAGCTGCAAATGAGATTTTTGTGCACTGGCCCTTTAAAAGGGCACCTGTGTCTATAGTAGACTCTCTCCCTCTTGGGTGGACAGAATCCCTGATTTTATTTTATTTTCTCTTCTCTTTTTTTTTCTTTAAGACTGTTATATACTTTTATTGCTTTCAGAGAAGAAGGAAGAGGGAGAGAGATAGAAACATCAATGTTGAGAATCATTGATTGGCAGCCTCCTGCATGCCCCCATAGGGATTGAGCCTGCAACCCGGCATGTGCCCTTGACCAGAAACGAACTCGGGACCCTACAGTCACAGGCTGACACCCTATCCACTTAGCAAAACCAGCTAGGGACCCTTGCTGGTTTTCACAGCCAGATATTATGTATGCACCTCTTCCTGGTTCTGATGCTCTGGTCTGGGAAACCTCACTTGGGGTTTAGACCCCACACTTCTTAGGGGGAACCCCCTGCAGCTGAGATGTCCCTCCAGAATCTTACTAGTAGCTGCTGCCTGAAGGAGTGGGGGCCAGCCCTTTTTGCGTCTCTGCTCTTCCTACTAATCTTATTGTGGCTTCTGTAAATCCTTGGTTATAAAACTTGTCTTCAGCTAGTCTTCAGCTGTTTACTCAGGTTGCTTGCTCTATCTATATTTTAGTTGTTAATTTTAGTTGTAATTTGAGTGTAACATCCACCTACAACACTGCCATCTTCAGTCCTCTCTTCCCCCTAGTGGTACTTAAATCACTTGCCTCACCATACTATTTGTACCATAAACCTTTCCAGGTAAGCCACCAAATTTTAATTTATATATATATGATTCATCTTGTGTACAAAAGAGCATGTATTTTGTTGCAACAACATTTATATTCACCTTGTGGGTATATAAAAGACCAAGAAGATCACAGCTCAGAATTGAAATGATTTGTGTGCTAAGCCTGATGCTTGGGGCCCTTGTGAGATGTTGTTAGCTGTCACAATAAGGCATTGCAATTTTTTATTAAATTGTTGGATCTATTGTTGGACTGTTTTCATTAATTGATCTACCCAAAGTTCCAGTATTTGAAAATCATTCCTTGATCACGAAAATATTAAGAACTCCTAATGTTATCTTTACAGATATTGGAGTGTGGCTGGTTGTTTGGGTTCAGGTGAAATGAGCTAGGAGGAGGTAAGGTCTAGAAAGTCTTTCAGGAAAAAGAAAGTTTGAGATATTTGAAGAACCAGTCACAGCAGTTACTTGTGAGGATAAAATGGAGAAATGTGGCCTAGGTTTCCAGAGGCATTTTACTAAGAAATTTTCTTAAGTCAGGATTTCATAACCTTGGCTTCAGAGAGCAATGAAGCCACAGAGGAATGTTTTAAAATATATGGGAATGTGTATGTTTTTTGTTTGTTTTTATATTTTGCATGGGGAAGTACCTTGTAGTACACTTTTTTTATATACTTTTGGGAGTCATGGTCACCTTTGAAAAGTTAACAAAACAAAACTCTGTGGTACAGAGAGTGGGTATCCTCCTGGTAAGAAGGCTGGTGCTATTTGCCTAATGGTAGAGGTCAGCCAAATCCTATGGCTTCCCTAAACACAGAATCATTCTGAAAACCTTTATAGGGATCATTGTATAATTAAATAGGACTGGTCCTGGAATGCACCATGATACCTCTCTGATCCTACAGTATTGTGAATAGTCTTAAAACACCCAACCACCAAAACCCTTGTTTCTTATGATAAAAGACACACATGCTTGTTGTAGAAAACTCCTAAATTAGCCAAAAGCATAAGGAGAAAATAAAATAACTTCAAGTCAAGAAATAGATAACATTATTAACATTAGGTTTGCTTCCTTCCTGTCTTTTTTCTATTACAGATGCTCACTATGATTCATTTTATTGCTAAATCAAATCAGATAATTGTTCATTCCTTCTGCTGTGTAATTTCCAAGATTGTTAGCCTATCATTGTGCTTTTCTTGAAAACATATTTATTTCAATCCATATGGTATTCATTATGATATCTCAATGCTATAGAGTACAGCTGGATGAAACCATTACCAGATTCTCAGTGGTCAGGAATGAGAGAAAACTAGAAATAGTGAAGACCAGAGATAAGAGATTAACTTGACCATGGGACAAAAAAGGTGGCTTAAATTTAGACCCAGTGTCCAAAAGAGACCCAACAAAACTGGTAGCATTTAAGCAGAGGTTGAAATCTGAGAGGGTTCCTGTTGGCCCAATTATTCCTTTTCTGATACTTGAAATCAATACTGGTCATAATGGTAACTGAATTATCAAATATGTATTGAATAACTACTATGTGCCCTATATTTACTTATCTACTTCTCTATTTATCTATCTATCTATCTATCTATCTATCTATCATCTATCTATCTATCTATGTCCTATATGTACATCTGTGCTTTATACTTTAAAAGAATAAGATTTGAACCAATTTTTTACCCCTTTGGGGATGGGGTCACTCCCACTGAAAATGTATGCTGTAGAATGACTTTAGAGAAGAAAGGTTAGATGTCATAGGATATGAAAGAGGCAAAAAAACAAAACAAAACAAACAAACAATAAAAAACAGAAGGAGAGCATGCAAGGCAGAGGGACAAAGAAAGAAAGATCATGATGGATTCCAGGGAACAGTTTCATGTATTGATGTGACCAAAGGAAGGAATGGCTTAAAGAGAGCCTGGATGAATATGTCATCAGGGGCCACATGGAAATCTAGATCTTACTCTAAGCCCCATGGGAGGCCACTAAAATGACAGGGTTAGGAGGTGTTACAACATGATCCCAAGGGAAGAGGTAAAAATTATAGGCTCCAACTGCAGAAGTCTGATGATATTCAAAGGAGATCTCAATTCAGCTCAGAAGTGGGAAGAGGGCACCAGACTAAACTCAGCTCTCATTAAGGTAGGTAAGGCAGCTAGGGGAATGTGCAGCTCCATGCATTGCTGGAGCTAGGTCAGGATTGACTCAAGAGCTGGGTTGACCAAGGATGCAGAGCAAAGCTTCTCAGGACCCACACCAAATAGAGATGGGAAGCTGAGGTTGATAGCTAACTGAATAATGTATCACATAACTCCAGGACTTTACTGCAAGTGCTTCCACATTCATGCACTTCCTTTCATCTTCACTGATGGCACCCCATGTAGCCTAAACTGGACTAATCTTGTAAGGAACTCCTGATCAGTCCCACTCCCACACTTCCATCTTGTCCCTGTATAGGGCATTCTGTACCCAGCAGCCTCAGTGAACTTATCACTACCTAACTTAGATCACGTCAATTCTGCTTTAAAACCCTCCATGGCTTCCCATGGCACCTGGAATCCAGGTCTTTACGGCCCTGCCTCGTCTAAAATCCAGACCTCTCATCAACTTCATACTGTCCACCTCGCCTCCTACATCCAATCTCCAGTGGCTTTTATGTCCCTGGTGCTTGAGCCCACTCAAGCCTTTCTGCCTTGCACTGTTGAACCTGTTACTTCCTCTCTTTTGAACATTCCTCCCCCAGATTTTCAGAGCTTCCTTCCCATCATTATGTTTCAGCTTCAGTGAGACCTACCTAGTGAGGCTTTCCCAAACCGCCCTCCCGAAAGCAGCATCCCACACAGCCAACCCTGCCTGGGTCATCCTCTCTCCTTTTACCTT